TTTTTAATTCTCTACGGTCTGTGGGGTACCTGATATATTTCTTACAGTAAGATTTACTGACAGATATCGACTACCATATGAAGTATACAGGTTTATATAATTTACACAAACTGAAATGTTAGTTGTGATGCCAGGAATTGCCATTATGGAATAATTCAGGGACTGTTAAGTTGGGAGGTACTCAAAATTCAAAAAGGTTAATTGTGGGTCCTGAGCACCTCATTTTACACAACTGTGAGATGATAGAACCATCATTTTATGTTTAATTTAGCAGCTCTATATCAGAGACTGTTAGAGTATCCCCATCAGGTATAGAAAGGGTGTCACTGTCCAAATGCCATGCAAGAATATTGAAAGCTTCTAATGCTGTATAGTAATGTGCCATGTTACTCCTCCTTAACACTAAATTCCTTATTAAAACCGCAAATCACCCTTATCCCAGACTCCTCCAAAAAATAAATCTGAGCAGGACAGTTCAAGAAATCAGATTGATCACAACATAAAAACTTGCAATCAGCACTGGAGAGGTTAAAATAAAAATATATTTTTTTTCTGAATAACTTAGGAAAAAAAAGTGATTTTACTGATCAGACTGACAGGCCAATTTGCTTTGATCAGACACATCAGGAAAGAGTTACAGCTTTAAGAGATGGATTTTAAATTACAAGAGTGATTTAAATGAAAAAGAAAGTAAAAGTTTAACAATAGAAGCAAAAATTTCCCCCCAAAAAATCCCCTCAGAAAAACCGAATAGTACAAATGTGACGATCACTATATATGCTGTGATCAGGACTAAAAAGGGATAATAAAAAAGCATTTTTTTTTTTTAAGTAAAAAGTTCAAACACTACTTTGTAACTTTAGCTTTCGGACACTTTGTATCCAAACTGTCCTTCTCCCTCACCTCAGATCAGAGTGAGGAAAAAGAGTCAGAACTGCAAACAAAGCCTATGTTTTCTAACCAAGGGCATTATCACATGCTACAGTGATTGCAGGGATTGTTTGTCATTGTAATCACGTGTCTTGAATGAAACAAAATAAAGGGGATGTAATCCACATGCATCACTGTGCTTTGCAAAAAAAATGGTTTATTGGATCATAAAGACCTAGTCAATTATACATTTCGGCTGCAAGACTTTAATCATGAATATGAAAATACATTTAGAGCTTTAGGTGCTTATTCACTAAACTCTGTAATGAATATTTTGTTTACGACCATTTTGTATTGACTAGGTGAAAATGTTTTAATGTAAGTATATACTCTTAACCCCTTAAGGATGGTGGATGTTCTATACAGTCCCTTAAGTGCCGGTCCTAAACGCCAGTGGGCGGCATAGAATGTCCCTGCCGTCCTTAATACTTACCAGGTCTCTGCCAGTCCCCTGCCTGACAGCCCAGGCAGTCCACCTCTGGCTGTTTTGGCCTTCCAAGGCCATGTGATCGCATCTTCTCTAAAATGGAGCACGCCATGTGTTCAATTGACTCTAGGGGCCAGTAGCCCCCTATGCTGGTTGGCCTGGATAGTTCATTCGAAGACTTCTGGTCCAGGCTCAAAGAACGCCAAGAGGCATCTGGGGGTGAGCCACTGATACCTACCTTTCTTCCGTCGTCGCAGCTGTGTCATCCTCACAGCCATGGTGAATCTAACCACAAACGTCACCTACTCTGAGCTAACCATGAAGGAGTGGGTCTTGGAAACTGCAGCATAGTTGATGCCTGTATCAATACCACTCCTGCAGAGTAGGGCCTGGGCCTCATGCCTACCTGGTGGCTGGCAACTATTTGACAAAGACAATGGTGCAGAAGTCTAAATACACCTTGGGGCTGACCTGCATTTTTTCAAATTCCAGAAATGTAAAAACAAGGACTGTTTTCAGAAATGCTTTGCAAGGGTATTCTTATTCCAGAAAGAGATTCAGCCTGAGAACTGGAAGAAAATGCTCTTACAGACTTACTACAGGTTTATCGGCGATGTGATGTACAAAACTGCCACTGTGAATTGGGACGGAATCATTAAAACTTAAAATGTAGGTTAAACATTGTGCTTTGTTATTACTGTGGTTCAATGGGAACACATTTAGCAGGTTCTGCTCTTTCTAATAAACGGTGCAAGTGGATCTGTCCTGTTTGTTACTTTGATGTTAAAAACATGAAAAAAAAAGTTCATCCACCTTTGTGGATGTGAATCGTTGCTAAATGCAATCCAAGATGTCTACTGTGCAGGTTGAGGCCTGCACCACATACAGCCCCTGAGCGATTCGCCCAGGAGGAACCAACCAGATGCCCAGTCACGGAGAAACACCCAGGCTGCCAGCTCATAAATCACAGGAAACACTGAGAGGGTAGCAGAGAGAAAAGGCCCAGAACCCAGAATAAGGGGAGAGGACAGCCATCAGAATCGACCCCTAGGGTCTGAACAACCCCAGAACAGATAGCCAGGGATCCCAGACAAAAGAAGGGGACACATTAACAACCCCACACTATAAGAAATATAGACAAGAATAAATAACTAAAGTTAATCTAAATAATAGCAGACAAATTACTCTGACCTGATCCATTGGAGCAGCAAATAAAGAGTATTTATAGAAAAATTATTGGTGCGGTGTAAGTGACAAGTGACTTATACCAGTAAGTGGAGCGCTTAACTTACTGGTATAAGTCACTTGTCACTTACACCGCACCAATAATTTTTCTAGTCTGTTTTGTGGAATAGAGGATACTTCCACATAAGTGTATTGAGCAGCTTGAAAATCACTCTATTTGTATATAAACACTCTGTTATACACATTCTTCTGTAAAAGGAAGCACTCTTTCATTGGTATTCAAAGAGTATTTATAAGCTGTTCTTTTTTTCTGATTTGTTATTCTGTTGTAAATTTTTTGCTGCTCTGGAGTTTAGTAAAGAAAGGAAAATGCTAAATATGAGCCCCTTATCATATGGTAAAATGTAATAAGTACACTGAAATGGCCAGCAAGATCATCTAACAACCCAATTTAAGAAGAAATAGAGTTGGTGCCCATCAGACAGAGGATAACGCTGTCTGTAGCTTCCCAAACCTACCTAGAGGACTTCCTCCTGCAGACCACCTTTGATGATCAGCCCATTTTGGTTAACCATTCTTACTGTTTGGGGTCCTTCCCCTCTTCTGGCTGACTTTGTTTTTGCATGCTGTTGGAAGTACTAGAGGAAGAAATGCACCACTACAAGTTTCTGCTAGCAAAGGGGTTACAGGATCTCACAACCAACTAAAGCCAATGCTCCCCCATCCAGAAGACTTTTAGAGCTGATGGTAATCCTCAACCTCCAGATGATGGACATCAGTTCTGATTGATAGAGCCAGCGCCCTTTCACTGTGAAACTACAAGACCAAGGCCATGAAGCCAGATCATGTCTCCACCAAGAAAAACACCAGGAGAAAATAAAAACTTTAGTGGCCCATTATTTATCTTTAGTATCTGAAGATTTTAAGGGACTTTAAAAATTGTGGGCAACTAACCTGTTGTTTTTTCCTTCCCAACTTCCATATTTGTTCTTCTTTCCCACCTATTTGTTTCCAACTTACTACTCCTCACATAGGGTCACTAGACCCAACCTCCAATGTTCTTGAGAATTTACCCTTAGGCTGCTCTGGCCCAATTTTAGGCCTACACTCTCTAAACTAATTTTAAGTCCCAACTAGACCATTAATCTCACCATCCTGGAAGGTGATGGGAGTCCTAGGGTCTTTTTTAGTAGACAATGAAATGACCAGGGTATTGAAAAGTTTGGCATTGGAAAAATAGCAGATGAGTTGGTAACAGTGACACTGAAGGATTTGATCTAGAACAGAAAACCACAACAAATCTTCAATTCTGACCTGTTTCTTATCTAATTGTGTAAAAGTGCCTGGAGTTTTCGCTAAACATGGTGATATATACTGACCACATCCTTACATGAGTACAGTTCTTACATATGTTGCAAAATGTACAGAACACTGATTTTTAAGAAGACATCAGTGAGAATCACAAAGAATCTTACCACATTATCTCCTTATCGTGTCTCTCCATCCTGGATGTGACCCATGTGTTTTACTATAACGTATAGGTATCACAATGTAATTATACATGCAAATATACAGACAAGCTGAGCAGTATCTTAACCCCTTAAGGAAAGAGCTTCAAAAGCTTGTCTTACGCTTAAGGACAAAGGCCATTTTTGCATTTTTTTGCTGTTTGTATTCAAACGCAATTTGCATCTCTGTCATTTATTGCACCAAGACATATTATACATCGTTTTTTAGAGGGAAAACAGGGCTTTAATTTGATGTCACATATACATAGATGAAAAAAATTGAAAATAAAAATAACAATTGTTTTTCACAGTTTTGGCAATAATAGCGTGTGCATAATATGTCCAGCTTAGAAAAAGTAATTCAAAATAAATTCATTTATGTGTCTTGATTTATAAAGTACATCATATGTATAGGATTTCAGCTTATTTTGAAAGCTACAGGTCACAAAATACAAGGACTAAAATAAAATTTCAATTTGCAACAATTTTAGAAGTTTGTATGTTTGTCTTGTAGGTTTAGTAGCCATCACAGCAAACAAAATTGCCACACAAAGTAGACATCACAGGCTATTTACCTAAGGTTAGTTTGACACTTTTTACGTAGCCATTTCATCGCCAATCTCTGCTAAATATTGGAGTAAAATTGTGTTTTTTCTCTATTTTGGCATATGCACATATAGCAAGGTTTTTGTAATGTGTATTTCGTAAAGCTGGTGTGTGCTATTCCTGCACAGAACCCCATATTATGTTCACCTACATCTGCTGAGTATAACGATATCCCCATTGTATTCCTTTGGTACTTTTCTGTAAAGCTACAATGCCATATAAGAGACAAGGCTATTTCAGTTTCTATAGTTAGAATTTTCATAGGTGGATTTGGCTGGCCTATGTCTCATTTTAGGGTATTATAGCTTGTACCAAGTGTAGTGGTAATAAGCATTTTTACTGCCTTTTTTTTTCCAATTGACAATTTTTTATTTTGTCTTTGAGCAAAAAGAAACATGGGGATACAGAACGAGGAAAGAGGGGGGGGGGGAATTATACATTGCATAATGGCTACACAGACAATAGCTATGTGTAGTTATATACATATCAGTGTACAACATAGTTAGACATCTACATACAAACATGCTTCCCTGAGTTGTGTGTTTTCTGGAGCTTCATTGCTTAGTTACCGTAAACCCCTTTTTTTTTTTTTTTTATATATATTTGGTGTGGTAGTATTTGTTGGCGCTCTGCGTGGCGCCTCTCGATTTTGTTTCAGGAGTCGGTAGACTCACTAGGGTGGACGTGGTTAGGGGGGGTGGTGTCTTAGCTCGTGATTTGTTGAACCCACAGGTCGTGTGCTTCCTGTACCTCTTTTCGTGTTCCAAATTGTGCGTGTGCCATTTTTTCGTATTCCCAATTTTGGTTTACCTGTTTTATAAGGTCCTCTATGGGTGGAGTGAGAGCTTTTTTCCAATGTCGGGATATCACTAGGTTGGCTGATATTAATGTGTGATATAATATCAGTTTGATATGTTTCGGTAATTTTTCTGGCAAGATGAACAAGAGACACAGGTGTGTCTACTCTTGGGGCTGGCGATATCTTCTGTAGTATGTTCGCTACCTCTACCCAAAATGGTCTGAGCATGGTGCATGTCCACCAAGTGTGTATCATCGTGCCCACGTCCTTCCCGCACCTCCAGCACATATTGCTGGTCGAGGGCCATATTCTGTGCAATTTATCCGGTACCAAGTACCAGCGGTATAAAATTTTTCGCTGCAATTCTAGATGTGTGGCACATGCTGTAAGCCCCCTATGAGCCGTGTATGCCCTCTCCCAGTCCCTGTCTGTTATTGTAACGTTGATATCTCGTTGCCAGGATGATTTGACCTCACCTAATGTGTGTGATTGTTGCGTTATTAAGCTCTGGTATCCCCAGGACATTATTTTCTTGAGTGGTGTTGTTCCCGTGCTTTGTTTTTCGAATTCCGTCATATGTGTCGGTGCTGTGGGCTCTGTTCGTCTCCCTAGCTTATCTAGTACGTAAGATTTGAGCTGAAGGTAGGAGAATAATGCTTTGGAGGGGAGGTTATATTTTTCCTGTATGTCGGGGAACGGTATCAGTCGCCCCCTGTCTATCACTTGGTACATGTGACGTATCCCGCCTTTCACCCATATTTCCCAAGGGAATGTAGGAATCTCCAGTCCTATGGAGCGCAATGGCATAGCTAACGGTATTATCGGTTGCGTCACTAAGTCTGGTTTCATTGTGTGCCACATTCGCAGTAAGGTTTGGGTAGGTGGTAGGAGATCGTTTATTTCCTGGTTGTTTTTCGTCTGTTTCCACATGAGTGACCTAAGATCACCTTGTGGTGCTTTGCTGGCTTCGATCGTCACCCACTGCGGGGCGCCGGTAGGCCTGTTAATCTGTGCAATGTTGTGTAGGTATGCTGCTCTGTAGTACGTCGCCAGGTTAGGAAGGCCTAATCCCCCTTTTTTGACAGATCGATATAACGTCCCTGCTGCTACTCTTGCCTTTTTCCCTTCCCAAATGAATGAGTTAATGATATGTTGCACGTTTTTTAGGAACTGTTTTGGTATTGGTATTTGGAGCGTCCGGAAAAGATACTGTATCTTAGGGGTAAGTGTCATTTTGACTGCTGCTATGCGTCCTATCCACGACAGGTATTTACCCTTCCATGAGTGAAGGGTGTCTGTAAATTCCTTCAGTAACCGGGTGTAGTTGTGTCGGAACAGGTGGGCTGGGTTTTTGGTTATTTTGATACCCAGGAATGTCAGGTGATCGTGTCTCCAGTCTAGAGGGAATGCTCGTTCCAGTCTGATTGCTAACTCGCCTCCTAGTTGTATTCCTAGGGCCTGAGTTTTCGTGACGTTAAGCTTATAGTATGATACTGCCCCATATTCTTGGATTCTGGTCATCAGGTTTGGTAGGGATATTAATGGGCGTGTTAGTGTTACTAGGACATCGTCCGCGAACAAATTGAGCTTAAATTCATTAGTCCCCATGAGTACTCCTCGTATGTTCGTGTCAGCTCTAATAACTGCCGCCAAGGGTTCCAGCGCTAAAATATAGAGTAATGGTGACAGGGGGCACCCCTGTCGCGATCCATTAGTAATGCGTATTTGTTTGGATACAAACCCAGAAATTAAGACCCTGGCTGTGGGGTGGGAGTAGAGCGCTCTGACGGCGTTTATAAAGGTTGGGGGGAATTTATATTTACCAAGTACCGCCTGCAGAAAAGGCCAGTTGAGCCTGTCAAAAGCCTTTTCCGCATCTAGTGACAGAAGTATCCCCCCCTCACCTTTGTCAGTCAGGCTGTATAGTAGGTCAATTACCTTCCTGGTGTTGTCTGAGCCCTGTCTGCCTTTTGTGAATCCCACCTGATCATCATGAATTAATGTTGGGATTATGTCCGCTATTCTGTTGGCTTGTATTTTTGCATATAGTTTAATGTCCGTGTTGAGTAACGAGATCGGTCTGAAATTTTGACTACATGTCGGTGGCTTTCCTGGTTTAGGCAGTGTTACTATGTGTGCGCCCAGCATCTCTGCCGGAGCGTCCGCTTTGCGAGTGAGTGCATTGAATAAGTTTGCTAAGTGCGGGGCTAGAGTATGTGCGAATTTTTTGTAGTAGTTGTTGGAGAACCCGTCTGGGCCTGGGGCTTTCCCGCTTGGGAGATGGGATATGGCCTGAAGTACTTCTGTTACTGTGATATCTTCCTGTACTGTAGCTATTTGCTCCACTGTCAGTGATGGTAGAGATATCCCCGCTAGGTATGTCTCTATACCGCCCGTAGTTGGCTGGCTCGTGTCAACCGCATTCTCCAGGTTGTATAGAGATGTGTAGTAATCCGCAAATACGTCCCCAATGTCTTTGGGTGTCACCTTTTTTTCCCCTGTTTGGTTGTGAATGAATGGGATCTTGGCATTCACATTTCTGTGTGACAGTCTCCTGGCTAGTAGTCTGCTTGCTCTATTGCCCTGTACGTACTGTGTCGTCTTAAGTTTTCTAAGGTGGTACCCTGTTTTTGCTAGATCGTGCTCTTTAATTTCCCCTAGTTTGTCCTGAATTTGCCGTTTGAGCTCAGGAGTTGGGGTCAACTGGTTTTGTTTGTTGAGGGTATATAGTGACTTTAGCCAGTGCCTCATTTTGGTTTGGGACTCCCGTTTCAGTGCGCTCGCCCTACCTATGAGGGATCCCCTGATGACCGGTTTGTGTGCCTGCCATAGCGTCTCTGGCGTGATTTCCGACGTGTGGTTAGTAGTAAAGTACCTGTGTAATTCGTCAGTGAGGGTCTCACAAAATTGGGTGTCGTTTAGGAGAGTCTCATTCAGTCTCCACGGGCTTCTGTGTTTATAGTCATATGCATCTCGCAATTCGAGGGTAACTGGGGCGTGGTCGGACCACGTAATGTTCCCTATCGAGCATGCTATTAATTGATTAAGGAACATTCCCTTTACGTAAAACCCATCTATCCGAGAGTAGGTATTGTGGACTTGGGAGAAAAATGTATAATCCCTCTCGTCCGGGTGCAATACCCTCCACGCGTCATATAGGTCATGTTCGCTAAACAAGCGAACCAGGGGCTTACATTCTCGTGTGAGGGTTGCGTGTCTGGGTGTGTTTGGTCCTACCGTTGAGTCTCTTTTGGGGTCAAGTATGTGGTTCAGATCCCCGCATATGAACGTGATGCCCCTCTGGACCCGCGCAAGTCGCGTTATAATTTTGTGCAAAAAGTTTCTCTGGTTTGCGTTTGGTGCGTAAATGTTCACTATAGTGTACTCTAAATTGTTAATTTCACACGCCAGTATTATAAACCTCCCCTGTGTGTCCGTGTCTTCGTACAAGGGCTTAAAGGAGACCTCTTTGCTAATCATTATAGCAACCCCTTTAGTTTTTGATGTGGCAGTGCTGTGGAATTGTACCGGATATTGTGCTTTTGCTAGTATGGACGCCTGTTTAAAGTGCGTTTCTTGTAAACACACTATATCTGGGCGTGACCTGCGCAGGTCTCTGGTAAGACAATACCTCTTTACTGGGGTATTCAACCCCTTAACATTGTGGTTGTATATTTTCATGATTTAATGTATGTGTTATACAAGTATTGGTTCTGTTTGTCTGTGTACTAATCCCCCTGATGAGGTACCTGCCTTCCCAGGGGTTCCTGTGTATTTTGTCTCCATAGTTCACTCTGTGGGGCTCTGCAATGCTTGGGGTCAGGGTCAAGGTGGTAGAGGGTAGGTATGAGGAATTGGCAGTATAAACAACATATATAACAGTCACATAGAATAAAACATAAGTGTATACATTTACAAATGCTTCAGTATACATTTCCCACTGAAGGGTATTGCACTATCACGATAGTGCAAGGTGGGAGCGTGGTTACTCTGTCGACTTCTAAGGTGTGGTGTAATTGGTTGCACTTAGGGTGCCCGAATCTTTCCCTCGGTATTCACCTTCGTGTTGCAATCATTGTATGTGTGAATCTACCGGCTGTTGCTGTGGCGTATAGGTTGCGTTACTTTATTTTATTTTTATTTATTTTTTTTTATTTTTTTTTTCGTGTGTGTGTGTGTGTGGGTTATGGGCTTTGTGTTATGTTCATGGTTCAAATGCACGTCAAGCCTTCCTGGCCTTTTTTTTTTTTTTTTTGCGTGTGTGTATGTATCTATATATACATTAATATCCTGTGTGCTTATGAGTGAATGTGTCATGTGTGTTTTGTAAATGTTTATGGTTAGGCGTGTAGTGCTGGGAATACTTGCACTTCTCCGACCGCCAGACTTCAGGCTTTGCCTCAGCGTCCTCAACGGAAGAAAAAAGTCTCTGTGTTAGTTCATTTTTTAGTCTTTTTCCAGTCAGTTGGCATTCTCCGTGCTGCAGTCGCCTCTTTCTTCTCCGGGTTTGGCAGGACGTTCCAGCTGCGCAGCAGTTTGCGGCCTTCTTCTGGGGTGTTCACTGTGGTCACCAGTCCATTCCTTCTGATTAGGAGGCGGATAGGGAATCCCCATCTATACTGTATATTGTTGTAGCGGAGGGTTTCAGTCGTTTCCCTAAATTCTTTTCTTTTTTGCAGCGTAGCCACAGAGAGGTCTGTGAACATTTTGATATGTTTGTATTTTTGTGGTGGGTCGCCGCCCGTTCTCGTTGCTTGAAGTAGTGCTTCTT